TACTTGCAGTTCCATAAAGCTTCCTAGCGAGCGATGTATTAAAAGCATCAAGCTGTATAGGAAGAGAAGCTGCTACGACGTGCTAGAGTCAGTCCTCTGGAAATTCTCCCCAATTAAAAGCAACTGGTGGGGCTGAACAACCTTGCCAGCCAGGGATGGCAACGCATTGTTTCTTGTATCATTTTTTGTTACGCTTACCTTGTTGGTGCTTCCTTCTTGTTGGGCCCCAAACCAGTAATGATGAGTTCAACAACAATGCAGTTTTAAGGGCCTGATCTCCAAAGGCTCCAAGCACCCTCAAATCTTGCCAGGGAGACTTAAGAGCACTTTGCAAATCCTATGAAATGCTTGGTTTTGCTTTCATCTTGCATGGTGACCTCTGACAAACACTGCAAAAGTGATCAACCAGGTAAATAATACATTCACAAAGTTTAAGGCCAAATTGTGGCCTGCCCTGCATGTCTGTAAGGGAGGGAGGGAGCAGAAAGTCCCCCCTCATTTTCCTGTGTTCATCTTCTGCATAATATATTGTGTTGTAGTGTAAAAAGAAGAGCTGAGTCTTCTAGCATGCTGCTCCCTCTGCCGAAGGGGTGGACACAGGGAACTTGTAACCCAACCCTTCTAAAGTGAAAGTGAAGCAAGAACAACTTGGAATGTAAATGTATGCAAAAATAAATGGTTCGGGCAACCCACTGGAGACGGGGTGGGTTGTGTCCTCCTTCCAGGCCCTTTGAAGATGTGATCTTTTCCCTTAATTTAGAATCTGCCTGTTTAGTTCCATAGTTTTAGTTCTGAAGGTCCTGGGTCTGTCTCACCCTTTGTGCTGGTCCATGTGCCGGTTGTCACATTAGTACAATGGAGGGTAATTGAGGAAGGAGAGGAGGCTGTTTAAAGAAGACTGAACAAAGAGAGGGAGAGCTGTGATTACAGCTGCTGTGGGAAGGGGAGAGAGCTCTTTTGAGAGTGGGGGGGGGGTCGCATTTCCTTCTGCACCTCTTGACTTCAATTCCTGCTTAGTCTGAGAACATGGATTGTGAATTGGGGTGGAGAAGAAATCTGGGGAAGTACCAAACACTTTGGCGATTCTGGTTATATGCAGCTCTAAGTGTTGCTGCAAATGCATCTGAAATTTAAGAATCAGTTTTAGTTTAGAGCATGTTTATAGATCTATATTCAAGAAGTTTAGGGCTGAAAGGGACCTTGTGAGATCATCGGATCCAACCCCCCTACTCTAGGCAGGAAGGACAACTGGGATCAAATAACCCCAGTAAGGTGTGTGTCCAGTCTCCTTTTGAAGATCTCCAGGGAAGGTGCCTGTACCCCCCCTGCTGGGAGTCTAACATTTATTTTTCTTACATTTCTCTTCAAGTAGGCACTACAGAAAGCCTAGAGACATCTATTCTTGTGCAATGCCAGGCACTTATATTTAAGCAGGAAAGGGTGTGGGGCTTGGGGTTTAAGTCACAAAAGTATGAAAATGTATACAAGACTGACAGTTGTATCTCAGCACTTTCTGTATGTTAGAATTGGCCAAAGAGATTGTGTTTTACAGGTTACCTCTGTATATTCCTGCAATAAAATTAAAAACTGAAACAAAGTCTGTGTTGTCAAGACAGGATTTTCTTTGGCTCAATCTATTTGGACTAAGGCGGAGGTTGTCAACCCAGGTACATGTACTCATGGAGGTACTTAGACCAGTCCTAGGGGGTACCCGTGGGCAGGCATGAAGGCGGGGATGGAGCACCACTGCCTCCCAGGAGCAGGGCTGGGGTGGAGCAAGGGTAGCCATGCCCCTCTGCAGAGCGAGGAAGCTCTCATGCAGCAGCCGCCACCGCCACACAGCAACTAAGCGAGCTTCCTCACCCCACAGAGGGATACCACTGCCCTCACCCAGCCCAGTGAGCTTCCCTGCCCTGCCCCGCCGCTGGACCTAGGAGTTTAGTCTGTCCCTGCACGCCATCTTGCTCCACGTCCGGCCGCGTGCCACATCCCCCCTCCCCACCTTCCCGCTTGGTATCTGGCTGGCAGGGGTACTTAGACTAAAAAAAGGTTGAAAACCCCTGGACTAAGGTATAAAGGAAATTTGATATGTATTTGTCAAATGAAACAGGATACACCTGAACTGCATTACCTTCTAACTTGCCAATATACTTCAGAACTTCTCTAGTCATGATGGCCATAAAGAAACTATTAGACAGATGGGATCTTCATGGGAGTCGTCTTTATGGAGAAATAAATTGTTTTTGACTCCCTATTAAACTAATACAGTAGTTGGGTAGGAGCAATCTTCTACTCTTTGGGTTCATCCACATGTGCAATTAGCATGTAGCAATAAACTATGGTGCAGTTTGCACTGGAGTTTATTGCTCCCGGGTGCAGTGTTTACACATGCGTCTGGGGAAGCAGCACATTGAGCAGGGGCAGAGCAGCCCTTGCC